ACCAGGAGCAAGGACGCTAATCTCCTGGCCTTACTACTAGGAGCAAGGAAGCTACTAGGGGCTCCTGGCATCGCTGCTAGAGGCTACTAGGGGCTCCTGGCCCTACTTCTGACTACTAGGAGAAAGAAGCTACTAGGAGCTCCTGGCATCGCTGCTAGGAGCAAGGACGCTACTAGGGGCTCGTGGCCTTACTACCAAGAGCAAGAAGCTGGCATCGCTGCTAGAGGCAACAGGACGCTACTAGAGGCTCCTGGCCTTACTACTAGCAAGAAGCTACTAGGGGCTCTTGGCATCGCTACTAGAGGCAAGGACGCTACTAGGCGCTCCTGGCCTTACTACCAGGAGCAAGAAGCTACTAGGCGCTCCTGGCATCGCTAATAGAGGCAGGGACGCTACTAGGCCCTCGTTGGCCTTACTACTAGGAGCAAGAAGCCATGAGGGGGGGGGATTTTCGCTCTAGAATACTGTGTTTTTTCACGTTTTTGGAACCGGCTTAAAATGCTGGAAGATGAACTCGTGCTAGAGGCTCCTGGCTTTACTACCAGGAACAAGAAGCTACTAGGGGCTCCTGGCATCGCTACTAGGGGCTCCTGGCCTTACTACTAGGAGCAAGAAGCTACTAGGGGCTCCTGGCCTTTCTACTAGGAACTAAGGGGCTCCTGGCATCGCTACTAGAGGCAAGGACGCTACTAGGGGCTCCTGGCCTTACTATTGGGAGCGAAGCTACTAGGGGCTCCTGGCATTGCTACTAGAGGCAAGGACGCTACTAGGGGCTCCTGGCCTTACTACTAGGAGCAAGAAGCTCCTAGGGGCTCCTGGCATCGCTACTAGAGGCAAGGACGCTACTAGCCCAGATCGAAGACTCTAAGTAGACGGTCCTTTTCGAAACCCTTTTGGCCAATAGCCTGCCAGTCGTGGATGTTCGCAAAAATGACTTGCCCAAGAGAAAAGTGAGAAATATGGTACATACGTGTTTCTATATGTTCTTTTTGCCCTTGGCCTCGTATTTATCTGATTGATACCTGACAAGAAGTCTCCAATGCCCTTGCGAGGTGCTCTCCTTGGAACAGCTGCTGTAACGCCAGACTGCAGCAGACCTGACTTCGACTGCGTGAGAAACCCGTGATTGTGGTTGTTTGATCCAGGAAAGGTGTCGGGCCAACACCAATCATCCAATCATCACTGAAGAAGTCTGAAGGCGTGTGGCATCACCTAAAGAAGGGCAACCTCGATGCGTTCGCTTGACACATTCCAAGGGTTTAGAGGGATGATGGACATGACATAACATCACATGACTAATTAATACTAATTACATGATACTGCATGAGTACATGACATGCGCTGCACTCTAGCTCTAGTAATTTCCGACGAAAAGCAGTTTTGTGCTCACAGCATGACTTCCACAGTCGCAGATTCGCAGATCACAGTTGCAGCCGTCATGTCACATCATATCATCACTATTAAGGGCTTATATAATTGACTGAGAGTGTCAGATAGCTCCACCGCAGCTCTCGTTCGCGCGCTCTTTTGCGCCCGTGTCGGCCGAAAAGGATGCCGGTGACAAAGACCATCCTCAAGGCTCAAGATTTCAGCAGACTTTCTCCGCCTCGACTGCCCAACAGACTGCAAAAACGTTCATTCTGGGCCTAACTGGCCCGGGAATGTGGGGAAGGGAGAGGGTGCGTATGCCTGAACTGCTTCCTTGTGAGGATGGTGACAAAACAACATTCCCCAGAAGAGGGGACAAGCTGCGGAACCTTGGCCGGCAGGGAAACGGGTAGAGCGGCTTAATGGTCTAGTTACTAGTTCATTGAGGGATCCGGGATGTTATGAGCAAGCAGAAGTGTTTTCATTAGGCCATGCGGCAGGAAAATGCAGGAAGCATGATTTTTCATGGTTTGATTTATATACTGAGGATGCACTATGTGGGCACCTTTAAGACTGGTGAAGTCTTTGATTCGTCCCGGAAAGCTGGACAGCCCATCGGATTTCAAGTGGGCTTGGGACAGGTGGGACCGGTGGGACGATTTCCGGACGAGAACTACCGGTGCTTCATGCAAATCGATAGCAATCATGATCTATTCGCTTGAGTCCGTTTCTTTTCGGGAATTGCAGGTGATCCGAGGATGGGACGAAGGAGTTCCTTGGCATCTCCAATTTTTGTGCCTATCCCTTTGGCTTTGTGATCTCATGCTGACCTGGAGAAGTCCTAAGTTCTCTGAGGTAATGCAAATGAGCCTTGGTGAGAAAGCCAGACTGGACATCACCTCCGACTTTGCGTGCCCCTTCACTCCGAACGCGGAATGACACTTAGACTTGAGGCGGTTAACGCATGTCAACGACAGCAACATACACCAACCAGGTACGGTCGTCAAGGTGCCGGGGATGTGATTCCACCCAACACAGACCTGGTTTTTGAGGCCTGACATTCTCAGTTTCAAGAAGCTACTAGGAACAAGGGCAAAGGGCATAGCTACTAGGAGCAAGGACGCTACTAGTAGCTCCTGGCCTTACTAGTAACAAGAAGCTACTAGGGGCTCCAGGCATCGCTACTAGGAGCAAGGACGCTACTAGGGGCTCCTGGCCTTACTACTAGTAGCTCCTGGCCTTACTAGTAACAAGAAGCTACTAGAATCCCTTGAGATTCTAATCTCAGTTCCATGATGCCCCGCACACGTGTCGCGACTTCGTGTTACTTCGCAGAAAGAACTGGCCTTAAGGTGGAGTTGTTGGCCATCAACGAGAAGGAAGCCCCCAAGGAGCCGACCATGGGCTTCACCAAGCAGACAGAAGCAGAACAAAAGAGGGAAGAGGGGAAACATGGAAACATCGCAGTTCGGCAACACTATGAATAGGTTGATTTTTCGGCCCGAAAGCCTCCTATGACAACCCGGAGGACTTTGCTGACCAGATGCTCTCCTGTGTGTGCTATGCAGGCACTTGCAGTATCTTGCATACTGGAGGCCTTCGCTAGCAGGTTGGAGGCCATCGCTTCCAGGTTGGATGACATTACAATTACTGTAGGTTGGAGGGCATTGCTGTTAGGTTGGAGGCCGTGAGTAGTTATTGAGTTGAATGCCCCGAGGCGTTGCCGTGCTTGCATTGAAGCTGTGCGGCTTCCTGTAAAACTTTAAGCACGTGCGGAGAACGTCAACGCCATCTACTGACACCTGTCAGAGTTGCGCAAAGACACGCTTTCTGCACATTCAAGGCCAAGGTATTAACCTCCAAATTCATGCCTGAAGACAGAATCTAAAGATATCAAAAGAGTGTTCAAACATCTGACAGCTCCTGCGTGCTATGAAGTTCACAGAAGCTGTGAAAGGCCCAGTCTCTTGACTGTCATATGACAAGTGCCGGTTAAAGATTGCGGAATAATCCATGTGAGTTTGTGGGGCAGGATCATGGAATTTGTTTTTCCTTCACTTGGCATTGCGAAGTGTGAGGATGAGCAGGTTTGTCTCGCTAAGCCGCAAAGCTTGTGCTCTGTTGGCACTTCAGCTCTGCCCAGCTCCGCCCAGCTCTGCAGCCTTTGGGAGCTTATTAGGACATGTCAGGAGTGGACATGAAGAAATGCCAAGCTTAGCTTCCAGGATGTTCACAGGTTTGGAGACGTGTCAACCCCGTGGTTTTGTTTTTTTGGAACTTTGTGTACTCTAGTCGCCGCAAATGCCTACTTCGGCATATGTCGACCGACTCAACGATTCTTTTGTCAAGACACACCACAGTTGACCAAAAATTCATTCGTTGCACTCGCGCAATGATTGCCGCGCAGCTCGGGAAGTGTTCGGTCAATGTGGATGTGATCTCCGAGCCCAACGATGAAGGCGTTTTTCATGCGAAGATGAAGGCGTTTAAGGAACCTAATAGAGATGGCCTCCAACCTACTAGCGATGGCCTCCAACCTAAGAGCGATGGCCTCCAACTTTTCATTTGAAGATGAAGCAATGCAACCAGACTTTGCGGAAGAGTCTACTCATGGACTTTGTAACCTCGTGATAGTGATACCTTGTGTAGATGGTCTCAACTGCTCGTTATATCGCATTACCAGTCCTGACAATGCCTGGCATGGCTCGTTCACGCGTGCAAAGGCTTTCACTTGGTTGCTCGCCCCAACTCGAAGACCCGAAGCCCGAATGCGTGTCGCTGGTCTGAAAAGATTTGAAACACCTGAGGTGGTTAGATGGTTCTGGAGATCACTGCGGCTGGTTTCGGGTCTGGAGACATCCTGCTTCATTGGGGCGTTGGCAAGCAGATCCTTGGAGATGACAATGAGAATAGAACTAAGGCGATGAAGGTGAAGGGAAAGCATGCATAGAGTTCGCGACATCAGATGATCAGGATGCATTTTGTTGAGTCTTACTTCGGGAGGTTTGGGGAAGCCTATGTGAATTCAATGTTGTGTTGATTTGTTGCACCCTAAACCGCGTAAAGGAGCGCCGAAGAATGGATCGTGCCAGTGGAGATCCAAGCGCGGACCACTCCAGCAGCTTCTCGTGTTCCAGGTACCCAACTATTGCAAGCAGCAACAAACGTTGACGTTATTTGACTGTTATTATGGGGTCGTTTAATGTCGTTTATTCATTAAAACAATCTATGGAATTCAAAAGGCCCAAAACAACACCATGTCTTTTTACAGAAATACACTAGCTGGAATCGGTTTAAAGGCCTAGCGAACAAAGAAAACGAGAAGAACAAGATAAAGTCAGATAAATATAGTTTGTTTGGTCAGTCAAGTGTCTGCCAAGGGTTCAACACAAAATTGAAACCAGTCCGACTGCCCCTGTTTGCCGACACAATCGAGCGGCTGGGCTTACAGGCGCTTTGCAAACGCCTTTTCCACCACCTGATGGACAGAATGTGCGAAAAGTTCGCTTGGAGATCAACAGCGATGCAGACCTGTAGCTTGGCCAAAAAGTGTGCTTTTTGGAAGGGCAAAAGACACGGAGGAAAGCAAGTAAGAAGGGTCCGAAGGTCTAGAGTCTAGAGAACAGATATGAAAAGATAAAAGACATATTAAGTATTTATATGTATTGTAAATGAGAGTGGACTCACCCGGCTGGACACGCTCGCAGAATGGGCGCATCGATTTTTTGAAGCGAAAAGTAGACAAGTCGAAAATCAATCAAATTCGACAATATTCGACAAGTCTGAGTTTTTGCGTTACCCTTTCGCTAATCTCGGAATGCTGTCACGTGTGTGTGGTGGTATGTGGTTTGTGGGGTTCGAAAAGCTATTGTTGGAACCCCACTGACACCAGAATGGGGTTGGATCAAAAGGGAATACTTGAGGGACTGGTTTGCACCGGCTCTGTACTACAAACAGAAAAGAATCTATAAGGAGATCGCCAGGTTTCGAGGCGGGAGAATTGTCCCGCTGAAAGAACCCAATTACCAGAGCACCCGGAAGGAGTGGTTCATGGACACCCCGAATCTCCTCTAAGGGGCTTTGATTAGACACCTTTTAGGCCTATTAGGGCAGACACTCTCCGACGTAATGATACTAGACCCGCTGATGGCCCGAAATGTTCAAGCAAAGTGTGCACAAGAAGAACGTTGTTCTTTCTGAATTCACCAAGACTTTGTGGCCTCGCAATTATTGCCACCTGCCAGAAACCGCCATGTCATCCTATGAGAAGTCTAGCGGAAGCAAAACAAATCTTCATACATGTCCTGTTTGCAGCTTATGTTTTGTATCGATTTGGTTTCACCAACAAAAATCTACAAAACGATCTGTTTTTTTGAAGTTGCAAGCTCGTCCCAGCATTGTCCATAGCTACAACTGGCTTTCGGAGCGACAGCTTCATATCAGAACACGACACATCAATGAAGCTTAGGGTCTGTACCTAAACACTGTGTCCCACCACAACCAAGATCACTATTTCCCCGTGGGGCTTGGAACCCTGCCACTTCATGCCCCACAAAATAGGCAGCATCTTCAGGTCTGTAAATCAAGGTAAAGCATGCGTCCGGAGCCTGGCTAGCCACACTTTTCCAAAGAGTGCGTAATGAACAATGACCACAAAACTAAACACTTTAGCATATCGCCAGTGGGGCTTGGAACCCTGCCACTTCATGCCCCACAAGACAGGCAGCATCGAGTACTTGCTTTTTTTTTTTGTGTCTAGTCTACCGGTATTTCAGCCGTTGTTGAGAACTGCTGCAGAATCAGGTATGCAGATCTCAAACTTGCTAGTGAGCTAAGTCACGGTACCTGAAGCCGAAGAGCATAATTCCAGACAACGCCCCAGGAAACAAACAAAAACACAAAGACCAACCTGTAGGTGGCTATATCGAAAAGTTGAAAGCTGAAAAGTTGCCTCCAGCGTGTAGGCGGCCTTTCCGTGAAGTTGCATTGCTGGCGCAATCAGTGTCCACGATTTTTCGGTACACCGTTTACACCGTCTACACCGTCTACACCGTTTACACCGTTTACACCGTTTACACCGTCTACACCGTTTACACCGTTTA